GCAATGCTCCTGGTAATTGCTAAAGGTGTTCTTATATTATCCTAATTTGCAAATAACTCATTAGAAGGGGACTCGTATTCACCCGTCGTAGAAGCAGTTTCTTTTTCCTACAGTCGTGTCTTGGCGTCGCAGGCTGAGGAAGGTGTAATTGGGATCTTGGGAAAATTGAATATTGCGGAAAGCCTTCTGCGACAAGTAGCCAAAGTCAGCGTTCATATCGCTAAATAAAAGAATGTCCTGAAGTTAAAGATTCAAAAGCTTTCAGATTTGATATCGCCCTAAAATATGACTGCGTATACCTAAACTCATATCATAAATTAAAAGGATTGAATGTATTACAAATAAAAATCATTATTTTAATGGGCCCAAAATATATTTCAGCTATTACATCGCAAAGTGAAGTATAAGCAGTAAGTACGATCTCAGTAATCCAATTTTCTTGGCTTAGTGCTTTTTGGTGATTGTTCGTGAATAATGGTTTCTGGTTCTGATTATGTCCGTCGCATGACAGACGAAAAATCTGCACGGTGTCATCGGATTCGTATGGTGAGCCGAGTTATTCTTCTCACAATTCAACAGACTAGTCCAACGCAATCATGTGAGGCTAACTTACGTCGCCACTCACCCGTCACCATCCCCTACCAGCATCCACCCACCTTTAATAAAATTAATGTATGCCACTATCAATCTACTTGGGGATTTTTCGAAACCTAGTTTCTCCGCTCATATTTCTCGTTTATCATAAATTTCTTTATCAGAATACTAGTTAGATCTAGAGCCTCAAACTCCCGGTTTATCGTACGATTAAAATACATAACGGACTTTTTAAGAACAAGTCATTGTCAAGTACATTTAAAAAAATTATCTTTGATTTTGGAGAATTTTTGTTTTCATCGCTATTTGTTTAGGAGACTAACATCAATTTTTAACTTATTATTTTTCTTTCCTTCACTCTAATTGCCTAATCTGCTTTTCTTAGCACTACTTCTTGGCAGCGTGTTTTCTGCTTTAGTGGTCTATCTCAGGAGGAGCGTGATCACTATTCAGGTGTAGTCGTCCAACTTGGAGGTGAGGTCGATGGACAGCTGATCATTAGCCAGAAAGCAACGCATCTCATTGTTAGTGCTCCAGGTAGGCCACGAGCAAGCGTTGCCTATTGATGGGAATCAATTTACCATTATCAGCATAACCCGTAGATATTTTTGGCTTAACTGTGACTAACTAGGACAGCAAATCATTAAATAGGTAACTTATGGCATTCCAGATCAGCGTTATCAGTAACATATTTGGTATTAAAAAATAGTTTAAGTATGCCTTAGAATTGCGGCTTCGTGAAATGGGCTTGCATATTTTGTCATAGTACCTCACGGTGCACTCTTCTAGTACGCCGATTAATCCATTTTGCTTTGCCTGTGATATCCTAACGAGGCGAAAAATTGTCCTCAATCTAGTTATTTTTCCTGTCTTGTTTTTTGATCATCGTAGTTTTGTCAATATTTTTTGTCCTACTTTTTCTAATTCACGATTAATTTTCTATCCCCCCACATTGAATAAGGCCGAAACGAAAAATATCTTACATGTCTTGCGTCCGGTCGATGGCTCCTACACAAGTCTTATCTTGATGCCTGTAGTCGCGAGTCTCGTTGGTTGCCTGAGCATCCATATGAATGGGGCGGTCCTGGGACTGAGCCTTTGCTGGTGCAACTTAGCCCCGGGCTAAGTTTGATTGGTGTGCCTGGATCTCGACCTGGATTACGACAACCTGCTCCCGGCCGAGACCCTACCGCTAATCAACTACGAGAGTTGGCACGTGCGGCTCGATACTGGCGCCAACGAGGTGGTATGGCATTTGCCAACTGGCATGTGCTCCTTGGTCCAGGGTGCGACCGGGAGACCAGCTTTCGGCGCATCATAGAGGCTGGACAGGGCGAGGTAAAGCATCGCACAGGCTCCTTATTTGTAACACATTTGAAGTATTCAATTAATACCTTAATCTATTTCGGAATTATGTGACAACACTTCTCAATTAACCTACCGGGATTGACACTTATTTTTGGATAATATTTTTCTC